CGCCGCAAAGCGGGGCGACCCCGCTTCACCCCGCGGGTCTGTTGGCACTTTAACGTGCTCTGGTTTATGTCGTGCCGCGCCGTCCGTAAAGCCAGCCTGGAGCAGGGGCGGAAACCGCTGGCTCAGCCCCGACGGGCCGGGAGCCCTTGCCCCCGTCACCCGTGCAAAAGGGCAACTTCTTCGTTCCTCCCAGATAAGTCAGCAATTCTGCCATTAAAAGAAGCGAGCGGTCATGTGCTTCCCGCAGCACACTGGCAGTATCCGTAGTCCTGCGAAGCATGACTCAGATGTCAAACACATGCCGTGCCACACGCTGTGGTCCCCCGGAGGGACAGTCTCCACTGCAGTATCACAAACAGTTAACAAATAATACAAATAAAATCTCTGCTTTTTTCAGAAGTCATCTCCACCTGGCAGGCAGGGAAGGCGACGCTGTGCCAACAGGCTGGCAGCCAGGGCGAGGGGCATCATGTCAGGCAGCTGGTGCCCACGAGGTGTTCCTTCTTCCAGAGCCGCTCCGGCCCGGCCCGCAGCTGGTTTCGATGGGCAAGAAGATGTTTTGGACCCTCCGAGTTTGTCTGTGCATTAGCCAACATAGGAAACTGCTCAGGAGGGCTTTTCCCCTCCGTTCCTTGGCGGAAGGGCGAGGATGAGCTCTGCAGCAGATCCATGGAGGCCCTTCTAGCAGACCGGAGACGCTCATCCACATGGCTGTTCACAAGCTCTCCAGCATCCAGCTGGGTACTTAGCTCAGCCTTTCCCCATTACTTTCCCTTTTCTGGAGGGGAAAACCAGCGTTTGTACCATCCTCTTTTGGAGGATCTAAAAAGCAGTGCCCAAAAATGGCCGCTGAAACTGGCTCAGCTCCAGTTCAGCTAAACTGGCGTTGCGCGCTGGGGACCTGCCTTGGCGCAGGGGGACAAGGCTACACTAACGGCCATGCAGAAATGAATTAAATGATTATTCCTGAAGCATCACATCTCACTCTTGCCCACGTGACATTAAGCAAACTGCGTTATTATCAAATAAGGCCGCTGTTCTCACCTTTGGTCTATATTTGACTAGATAGGTTTGGTGGTCTGCATCCAACAGCAAGTTAATAGCTGAACAGGGCATAAACTCAGATGTTTTAACATGTCTACTGCTTGAAGAGCAGCGTTTTCACTGTTTGCTGTAGTTTCACTAGGAGGTTCTAGGCACAAACCCACCGGTTCCTTCACAGCTCTTGTGCCAAGGCCTTACAACAGAAATGGGGTTCGAGTCCTGCAGCACATGAGCAGAAGTTTCCTCAACATATGAAGAGCTTTCCCAGCTTATCCTGACCAAACGGTCTTTGGTGTCCTGCCCCTTGGCTCTTACCTGTGTCAAGGAGACAAGCCCTACTGCGTTCCAGCATCTGCAAGACCTTCCTTTTAGGCAGCTCCTCTGCACTGTGATGGGGCAGTGATTTTAACAGGATCGCTTACCCACGACATATTTTTTCCTTGCAGGCTGTAGCTACCTTTGGTTTAACTTCTGCTCTTCAGATGGGTCAC